GCATGTAGTCATGTTTTACGTGACACGCATATCATAATTATCATGTTCGCACCAGTCACATATCATCGTCATTTTTTCATGTCAAGGGGCACCAAATTTAGTATATGTGAAGCTAGTGGAACGGCCGCAAGCGCACTATGATCATAGCATAAATTCATATTTCACATGAGACGCATATGGTGATTATCATGTTTGCATTACTCGTATACTTTCGTCATCCATTGACATCACGTAACACCAAGTTTGGTAAATGTGAAGCTGCCGAGACGGCACACGAGCGCACTGTGAGCGTAGCATGTAGTCATGATTTACAAAACACGCCCGACATGATTATCATGTATGGACGTGTCATTTACCTTCGTCGTCTATTGACGTCCCGTAATACCAAATTTGGTATAGGTGAAGCTAGCGAAACGGCTGCGAGCGCCTCATGAGCGGGGTATGTGGTCATGTTCTTTCATGACACGCATGTCATAATTATCATGTTTGCACCAGTCATATACCTTCGTCATTCATTCACGTCACTTAATACCAGATTTGGTATATGTGAAGTTACTGAAATGATCACGAGCGCACTATGAGCGTGGCGTGTACTCATGACTTATATGAAATGCATGTCATGACTTCTACTTTAGGGCCTGTCACGTTTGCCATGCATTCATTTTATACCATGCTAGTTTTACAACATGTCATTTTAACAAAACCATGCACCGCAAGAGCAGCAAGACCGTGACATGTAAATCATGCCATTCATGACATACATGTCATGATTTTCATGTTGTGACTAGTCACTTGTACTCAACATACCGTCGCTTATTCCATACTAGTTTTCGTATGATACCTTTATCGAAACGGTCAGGAGAGCTAAAAGTCATAATTTCCGATGGAGGCGGAAATGTTGTAGGCCCGTGTGCTCAGATTCAAGTCCACGTTAAAGAACCCCAGGTGGTTTAAATTTCCGGAGCCTTCCACTACGGCGTCTCTCATAATCATATAGTAGTTTTGGGACGTTAACCCCACATATCAATCAAAGCTAAAAGTCATAGATAGATAGATAGATAGATAGATAGATAGATAGATAGATAGATAGATAGATAGATAGATAGATAGATAGATAGATAGATAGATAGATAGATAGATAGATAGATAGATAGATAGATAGATAGATAGATAGATAGACGGACGGAAGGACGGACGGACGGACGGACCGACAGATAGATAGATAGATAGATAGATAGATAGATAGATAGATAGATAGATAGATAGATAGATAGATAGATAGATAGATAGATAGATAGATAGATAAGATAGATAGATAGATAGATAGATAGATGGATGGATGGATGATGGATGGATGGATGGATTGATGGATGGATGGATGGATGGATGGATGGATGGATGTATGGATGGATTGATGGATGGATGGATAGGATAGATGGATAGTAGATAGATAGATGATAGATAGATAGATAGATAGATAGATAGATAGATAGATAGATAGATAGATAGATAGATAGATAGATAGAGATAGATAGATAGGTAGAGAGATAGTAGATAGATAGATAGATAGAGAGATAGATAGATAGATAGATAGATAGATAGATAGATAGATAGATAGATAGATAGATAGATAGATAGAGATAGATAGGTAGATAGATAGATAGATAGATAGATAGATAGATAGATAGATAGATAGATAGATAGATAGATAAGATAGATAGATAGATAGATAGATAGATAAGATAGATGGATTCGCTGAAAGACACGGATTGTTCGTTAAAAATTGCTTTGCATTTAATACAAACAGTCTGCATAATCGTGTCTTTATTAACGCTGCATTATAACCATTCTGCCCCGCCGTGGTGGTCTAGTGGCCAAGGTACTCGGCTGCTGACCCCCAGGTCGTGGCATTGAATCCCGGCTGCGGTGACTGCATTTCCGATGGAGGCGGAAATGTCGTAGGCCTGTGTGCTCAGATTTTGGTGCACGTTAAAGAACCCCAGGTGTCACACACAGGTCCCGTTTATTAGGGAGGCGATCGCCGGGCTAATTCCAAGAGCCGAAGTATCGGCACCCCGAACCGCACCACGAAAGCGTGGACAATTTAGAATTGGTCCTTATTGGCGCGCCAGCAGACGCCGGCTGTGGCCCAAAGAACAAGTCAAAGCCGAGAGTTGATAAACAAACAAAATTATATTCTCAACAATCGCAGATCGAAAACCATACACAAAAATGCACACTCCACAATAGTTACATACAATACGTCACCAATCAAACAACGTACTACACAGTACAATCAGCCACACTCAAAACAACGGACACACAACGATACGCACTACAATGCAGTCGCATGCATTGAACCACCAAGACACTTAAAGACTAAAGAGATAGAAAACCTATCCAGTCCAAAGTTCTTGGAACAAAAGTCTGGATGGTACTCTTCCGAGAATCACTCACTCAAAGTCCAGCGTTGTTGTCGTTTCGCGCCCTCGAAGTTTCTCTTCCAGGAAACCTCGCGTCTTCAATTGGCCACTCTCCAAGCTTCAAACTTCTTTGCCGGAAACACGTCGGCTTCACACACGCAGCTGTTGCCACGCGTCTTCGCTCGATAGCGGTAAACACACACTCTTGCCTGTAGCTCGAGTCATCACCCCTCAGGTGGAAATCCTCTTCATCTCCTGCTTTGTCTCTACGGACAAAACCTTCGCCGACTACACGGCGGGATCCCTTCGCACTCTGGCGCAACTTCCGTCTTCTCCTCCTGATCTCTCATCTCGGCTGCTCGGTTAAATACCTTGCGCGCGACATTCCAGACGGTTCTCGTCATTTCGTCGGCGTGATACGCAGCGAAGGCTGGGAAGAGGGCGAGACGGTTGGAATGCCCTCCGCGGCCGATGACTCAACTCGGTATGACCACGCCCCTTTCGTTCTGGAACTTTCGCGGGCTATCTCGGCCGCCGATGTGGGCGAGGAGGTTCGTCGGCGAAGCCACGCTTCCGAGGGGAGAGCGCGCGCCCCGGGGAGCCTTTAGATGTTTGTTTTCTTTTTCTTTTGACCTCGCGGCGCCACTCCGGCGTTTCGTTGCGACGATTTGGCGGCGCGCCCATTTTTAGCGCTCGTTCTGTTACACCAGGTGGTCGAAATTTCCGGATCCCTCCACTACGGCGTCTCTCATAATCAAATGGTGATTTCGGGACGCTCAACCCCACAAATCAATCAATTATACATTCCTTGGCATTATCGTCTGTTAAATCTCGTTAATATTGTCTCAAAACACGGAAAAAACGAGCCCTAGGTATAAACTTCATTTCCCTATATATATATATATATATATATATATATATATATATATATTATATATATATATATATTATATATATATATCTATATATATATATATATATAAAGGCCGCTGTGATAGCTCAGTGGTTAGAGCATCGAACGCGTTTATTCGAAGGTTGTAGGTTTAATTCCCTGCTCACGGCTGGTTATTTTTTCACCCACTTTTCTTTCTTTTTATTTACATTCCATTTGTTCTAATAACTTCCCCCACACATTGCTTGGCATTATTGTCTGTTAGATCTCATTAATATTGTGTCAAAGCACGGAGAAAACGAGCCCATAGGTATACACTTCTTTCCTTTATATATATATATATATATATATATATATATATATATAATATATATATATATGTATATATATATATATATATATATTCAGTGAGTGTATGTGTGTGTGTGTTCCTTCATTCCCTTAATATAACGTATGCGATTTCAGGCAGTGCTGATTTATTTTATTCAAATAACTTCTAAACACTTTTTTAAATTCATGTATATGTTCTATGTTTGATTTGAAAGTGTTGTTGTTCGAAAAGCCTAAATTTATGACGCCTTTATTCTACTATTTGATACAATGAAATATTGAAGTGTCACAATGTCTGTAATGTGCTTTTTTCCGTAATTCAATATTTATCTCGTTGTTGAATCTTTCATGCTTTGCACATAATGTAATCTTAGATACTTCTTTTGAGAAAACCTGAATTACCGTTCGAAAAACGTTTGGTATAGGAGTATATGTAAAGAAAAAAAGAGATATAATGATTGTGGTCAACCTCCACTTCTGTATTACTTGATTCGCTACTGCATTGAAAGATGATGTGCTCTGTTCCGATGTTTCTAGAGCATTATGGCATGTTATTGTACTGTCGGATAGTCCTTATTTGAGCATATTCTGTCAGATGGTCTGATTAGTATGGCTTCAAGTATTGCTCGTTATAACAGATTGATCGATATAAAAAGAAACCATTGCAACACCAAGAGCGACAATAAAATAAAGTTATGCAGCCCTGTCAAGAGTATATATTAGAATGGAAAAATAGAGCGAAACGAATGGAAGGAGTGCAAGGGCAGGAGTTCTGGCTCAGTTGTCAGATATGTGGTGCTTAAGCACTGTAAAAGTAAGAATAGTTGGCAGTACGAGCTTGTCCAGGTGGCTCCGATGGCGACTCTACAATCACTACACTGTGCAGGGACACACAGCGATGGCATAAGATGTCGCTACCGGCTGATTGGTGCTAATCTGCCTGGTTCACTTAGGGGACCCCGTGTTTTCTGTGCTGCGTTTTGTGACTACGAACTAGGATTATTGACGGGAAGTTCAACCTTGCGAACGAAATAAAAGTGGTCTATGGTTGTGATGCGCTGGTAGATTGTTGCTTTCGAGTTATATAAGGTCATTTCTGGAAGCCTTTATTGTCACAAGACATACCAGGAAAATAATAATCATTCAACTTGATAACTGCGGCATATTCCTGAAGAGAGCTTAATAGATCGATAGGTAAATTGGTTGATTTATTTACGTATTGATTGATTGATTGATTGATTGATTGATTGATAAAACCCATCGTGAACATATGCTAGCGTTGCATAACTTTATTTTTTTTTTGCTATGTTCATACCCTTACTAGATTGCGTTGGCACATTTTCTGCGCTTTGCAGACAAACCGAACGTGACGCTGCGACTCGGCCAACCATTTCGTGACCTGGAGATTATGGAAGGCGGTGACGTGTACCTAGAGTGTCACGTGAACGCAAATCCACCGTCGTCTGAGGTGCACTGGTCGAAGGACGGCGTCGAAGACTTCGCGACCAAGACGCTCAATGGCTCGACCCTTCCCGACGTTATCATCTCTGGCCGCTTCCTGGCGCTCCAGAAAGCCCGGCGTAATTTCTCTGGCCGCTACGCTTGCAGTGCTACAAACAGTGAAGGCTCGGCTCTAAGCAACTCGCTTCGCCTGAAAGTACTACGTGAGTGGATCTCTGTTTGTGTATTCGCCCTCTATCTCTGACTCGTATAGGGCCCCTACAATATACATTAGTTACATTATTATCCATCATATATATATATATATATATATATATATATATATATATATATATATATATATTTAATATAGCGTTTTTGGTTTCACATGTATACATTATGCATGGATTCGAAAAATTCATGCGCAGTAAAGCGTGTGCGTACCTGAATGTTAACGTAATGTTGATAGAGACAGATATTCAAGCAAACGAGTGGTCATAAAACTGTACAAGATTTGAGATTTTTTTTGAGATTTGAGATTTATTTTATTTTTCTGTACGTGCAACAGAAAAAACGAAGCAAAAGCAAAAGGCTACATAGCCTGACGGAGGCTTTTGCTCCGAAATACAGTCTGGCAAAAAAAATGAAAACTAAAAATAACATGTCATACACAACTTAGCCGCAATTAGAGAACATCATTATATACAGATATAATTTGGAAATTCTGATTGATTCAATACCTCAAAAAGTCTGTTAAACAAATGTCTCAGTCGTTTTTGTTTTTTTTCTGATGTTTAATCGTAACAGCCGCATCTAGTGCGATACCAGGGAAGAGTATTGAGAGCGTTACAGTATGCACGAAAAATTTGATGAGTTCAACACTCTTCTTTTGACTGGAAGTGCAAGTGTTTTGCAGTGTAGGTGCTGTTTGTAACACATGTTTATCGACTTTACTAATTCGTTAATACAAGCAATGGCTTGCAGGTTCACAGCAGTTAGTTCTGGTGCGGGCGTAATCTCGAAATGATTCAACTTTTGAAAGTGCGCACAAAGCCCCGCCGCGGTGGTCTCGTGGCTAAGGTACTCGGCTGCTCACCCGCATGTCACGGGATCGTATACCGGCTGCGGTGGCTGAATTTCAGTTGGAGGCGGAATTGTTGTACGCCTGAGTGCTCAGATTTGGGTGCACATTAAAGAACCCCAGGTTGTCGAAATTTCCACAGCCCTCCACTACGGCATCTCTCATAATCATATGGTGGTTTTGGGACGTTAAACCCCACATATCAATCAAGGAGACCTTCTAGAAAGGTAAGCGAATCCCAAAGTTCACTGAAGCCAAATTTAAGAATTCGTTGGGCTGACCCGGTATCTTGTCCACTGCTGGCCAAATCGGAGGAAGATGTAGCAGCATAAAAATAATAAAGTAAGAGAGAAAACGTTTGGGCTATTGTAAGGCATTTTTAGGTATAATACGAAAAGCCAACGTTTTAGCGTTGACGCAGATTTCTCCACAGAAATATTGACTTGCATTTTCTGTCCTGTTGCCTATGATGATAAAAGCCTATGATGGTAAAACCTATGATGGTAAAATTGATGGTAGTAAGGATTTCAAAGAATGATTCATGACTCAATATTGATTCATTTTTTCACTTTATCATTCTGTTAAGTAATGTTACGTATTTATGTAAAAATTATTATGCTGTATACAGCTGTACAAGAAAGTAATTCCTGAAAAAAAAAGCAGCGACGAAATATCAATTGTTCAGGACGAAAGACTTTTGTGGTTGGTTACTCAAACTTCATGACAATAGGACTTTGTAGTAATGAAAAAGGGTTAACACTTTCTTAAAGTGTACAATTTTCTCATGTCAAGTTACCTTTCTTAACTCTCATTGAATAACGTTCAAAACTTGACTGGCCTTTCAAGTCATTCTTTTCGTTCGTCTTCACTAACCTCGGTGTCGCTAACTGAATTTAACATAAACGTGTGCCTACGCCTACAGCGGATGTGACTCTCGTTTGTGAAAAACGGGTGAAATATTACAGAACAGGTGAAGGCATTATACTTTAACTGTGAATTTGAAGTGTACTTTCGCCCTTTCTACTTTATTTTTTAGTGCAGTGTGTACAAAACGTATCCGGCAAAGCGAACAAAAAAGTTTGATGCTTGCTTCCTTGTCCTAGTGCGCCACCTCTCCCTATACAGTACGGACAAATTCGCTTCAGCGGGTTTACTCTTCGTGTGCTCGGGTGCTTCAGTGACAGCAGCGCGTGTTCTCTCCCTATGGGCTCACTACACCGCTTGGAAATGGTGGGACCTCTGTGGAACCAACAAACCATGTGAACGTTTTCACGAGACACATATATACGAGCGCGTTTCTGGCATTTCGTTTCCGGAGAGGGTAGCTAGCACGTGTGATTCGGCGCTGCCATAGTAGCTCTCACTGTTGCACATGAGTACGTGGGCGGTTTGTTTTGCTTCAGTTTGCGACCGCGTAATACGCGACGCCCCAGCACCATCCAGCTGGGAACAAATCGAGCGTTCCGACAACCACGCCCGCACAGCTTTGCTTCGCCATCGGCTTGCTTCCACGTGCCTGAACAACGAGCCAACGATAAGCATGAAAGGAGCAAGGGCCAGACAGCCCGGAAATGAACAGGCGTTTCCACGAGTGCGCACGCCTCCATCCAATCACCTCCCCGCCTCGCGGCCTCTTTCCCATGGGGCTATCAGACAAAATAAATAAATGAAATACATAAACATAGCACTGTGTTATTATTCTACTAATGAACAGTGATCAACGCCGGCAAAAGCAGGCACACTAGCACAGCCTAAATGAAAATCCAAGCGTAAAGAGCGCACAAAACCTGCAGCGACGTCACGTATTTCGTTGTTATTCTTATCTCACTCCCCATTTAGTGCTACTTTGGGTCCTGCAATCAAACGAGCGAAAATGCACGAAGATGCCTTGCATGGAAACCGGACGGAGAAAGAAAGACGTAGACTGTAGCAGGTACTATTTAGGGCGAATGGGTGCATGACTTAACATGGCAAAGGGACGCAATGTAAAAGCTTTAGGTAATAGAACACAGACAAAACGTTAGATTCCTTTCTATGGTTTGGACATTGCACCATAGATAATGTATTCGGAAAAGACAGATGGTTTGGGCTGCTTATTGAAACTGACCCCTGAAGATCCACTAACGATCAAATAACAATGGCAGGATGTAAGAAATGTATTCAGTATACAGTGTCGACTGATACAGATATTACCCGAGAAAAGATGGATGAAACCACGCCAGCCTAATCATTCACGAACTCCCGCGGGAGCTTATGCAGGACGGAGGCGTTTGGTGTTCTGCAACATCATATACTCGGGAACACGAAGTTCGGGCCCGCCCACGTCTTTATGTGCCTTATTTAGCCTGCGAGGGTCCTTTTGTGTTCTGATGTATGCAGGGGGCTTCGTTCTTTAAGGACTCTCGGCCCAAAGAACAAGTAATGTTGCACCCATTATTTCATGTTATATTTGTCGTGACTGGAGGACCGAGTGGATTAATTTGTGACTTGCTTTTCCTTGTCTCACCTGTGAGTGATGCATACGGTACGCGTTTTCCCTACCTCTTCACCTCCTTCCTGCTCACTTCTGAATTTCAGGATGCAAGGAGGGCTATTGTGGGAGTGTCTACTGTATGTATCCAGTAATCTATTGATCTGGAAGTGTGATCACGAATTCTTACGAGTGAAAATCATAGGATGGTACAGGAGAGTGAAGACGGAGCGCTAATTTTTGTTGTTTATTTCTATACACAATTGAAAGTTAGCGCTCTGTGTCCTTTCTTGTGTCTCCTCGTGTATTTTGCGCTGCTAAGATGGGGTCTGTTCGTCCTCCATCGTTGTCGTACGCAGCCACAGGGTTGCGAGATTGATGATGGTGGTATTTGGAGTGTTCACTAGATGGACGCATGGACGGACGCATGGACGGATGGACATACAGACTGGCAGATGGCTGGACGGATGGATGGACGCGCGGAGCGGGTATGTGCCACAGGGGATGCGAGATGGCGGTACTTAGAGTGTTCACTAGATGAACGCACGCACGGGTGGACGGACAGACAGAGTAGAAGACGGACGGACGGATGGATGGACGCGCGGGCGTACAGACGGATAGACGCTCGGACACACGGACTGACGCATGGATGGACGCACGGATGGTCACGCGGACGGACGGAAGCAAGAACGAACGGACGGACGGAAGCACGGGCGGGCTGACGGACACTTCGCCCCACTCATCATCATTCACCTCGTGGATATGCTGGGATGTTGTTTTCTAATGAGGAAAGAGGGGCCTCGCCCAGGTGCTCAGTATTATACGTACTCACATATATAGAAAGTCGGCTCTCTTTTCTACCCTCCTTTTTCACTTCACATCTGCCTCTCCAAATGACGCTCCGTCGTGCTCCCTCATGAGGTCATGAATATAAGCGTCTTTCCTAATCTCAAGCCACTGCCTCAGTTGTAGATGTTTGGTTACTGTAGAATTAGCCTTTATATGCACCATATGCATATTCTCTTAGTCTTTCGCCGTCTTTAGAAACTAGTATAATACGTTGCTGTAATTTAATGCACCAAATTGTAGCTGTTGAACTAAAATAACTTATACTTCTAAACATGTTTTGGAAGGTATTAGTTAAAAAATAAAAGGGACTGCCTTCTGGTGCTGTATGAATGAGTGTTTCTTAGTTGAAAGTGAAAATACGATGTCACTAGTGTCATAGTGATGTTTATGTACATTTCAAAGAAAAGTAATCAACATTTTGGAATAGTTTGCGTGAACTGACTGCACACAGCTCGCAGCTGTGTTAGACACGTTTACAAAAAAAGAGGGAGGCGAATGAAAGGTATGGAGGTTACCCATGCAAGTTGAGCCAGTCTTGGTACCTTTCATGGGAAAAAGATAAGAAAAATTTATTAAGGAAGCAGGAAAAAAGAGAGGGAGAGCTGTTGGTACGCGCGCACACATAGTATAGTTCACCGCGCACGCACAGAAGGTAAGAAGTCTGAATTATTTCATTTTCTGTTTTTTAATGGTCCTATAAATAGCGTAAACCGAGATCCACTATATTAATGAAACCTTGCTAATACGACGCTAAGGTATCTACCACTTGAAGTGCACCTTGAGCTGATCTGGTTATTGCTTCCAATAATTTTTTAAAGCAATGTCTACTCAGTCCTGCGCAGCGTACAGTTAATTAGGCGAAATGTGAGTGGAACAAGCCTCTTTGGCGTAGTCACTGCACCCGACGAATATTTTTTTGTCCGCTCTCTGACACCACTTTTGTATACGCGAATATAAGTCATTTACTCTGAAGTGGTTACCCACTTCACCAAGTCATATTCGTGCGGCAAATTTTTTGGTTGGGACATTTTCGCGACATGTAATCTTAATAATGTTTTGTCTTGTATTAATGACACTATCATGGAGCCATCTACAACACGCTCAGTACAGAATCATTCCCCGGAGTTTAAGCATTCTATCGCGTCTCTCATAATCATATGGTGGTTTTGGGACGTTAAACCCCACAAATCAATCATTTAAGCATTCTAGGAAAAAACCCTGCTCGGCTTGTCGAGCCACGTTCGGTAAATACGCCGCAGACAGTACGGTTGTCTGGCGCAAAGAAGTAACGAGGAAATGGGTCAAGAGACGCTTTCTGATTTAAATTTTCTGATGTGGAATTGATAACGCATTCCTACCTCACTTCGAGGTATCGCAAAAGCTTGGATCGCCGGTTTTGTTGCTAGCGATAATCCGTTGAATTGGTCGAAAACAATTCGTTGTCGCCAGCGTATCTGCTGTAGTCGACGTACAGAGTTTGATCCCTTTCTCTAGAGATAAATAAATGCATGCTGCTAGCTGTCCCTGGGTTTATTTTTAATCAGCTTTTATGTGCTTCAAAAATAAGCATTGCGTTTAATTAAAGTATACAGAATCTATTCCCCATCGGAGCATAACATGAGACGAATAGGGCAATTGAAAACAATATTTTATTTTGTATGATGTTTGATCCCTTTTTCAACCCAAATCATTCGGTGAAGTTTTACTGTAGAACCCGGACGATTGCTATGCTTGCTCGTTTTTAACATTGCAGGAGCCCTGTCCGAGAGCACTTGACTTGTGACAGTTATTTATACTTGAACTCATTTTGGAGCTTGGTTTCGTATGCGTGTTTGTGTGGCCCGTTTCAGCGGTTCTGTGGCGTTGAAGAAACAGCAGAGTGTAGGGACTAGCGTGTGCTTTAAATATTTCACGAGGAATATTTGCCGGGTCCGTTTTATGCACGACTTGTAAGTGTCCCAGGACTGGCCACTAAGTCATTACGGATTCTTCGACTGTAAATATCCCACGAACAAGTCGTAAACAAAGCCAGTTTTAGACTCGCTGGTTGCTCTTAACTGAAGCTCTAATTAGAGCTTCCTATTAAAGCTACGTGACACTTAAAACGAGGAAATCTCGGCCCCTGTATTAGCGCGAACTTCTTTGCTACGAAGCGGAGAATCTGGCCGGAAATAAGGATTTTAGTTTCGTACGTAGCCTCAAAGGTGCGCTCGTAATTCTGATTCCACCGTCTGAACAAGCGATGAGCGCGAACAAGGTAGGCCCGGAAATTAGGGGCCAGGCCTGCCTTAATGAGAGCGTGCCGGCCCAAGTACGTTTTGTCTTCATATTGCACAGCTCTAGTATTGTGCACTGTATATGCAATACGCTTTGTGATTTCCTATACTTATAGACCCTTTTACTGTTTACAAAACTGCTCTATGACGACATCGGTTTTGTCTACCGATGTGCCAAAATAGCATCGGTGGACAAGAAGAGCTTTGAAAAATAGCCCGCTAATTTTCTACGCTTTCTTTCCCTTATTTGGCAAAATATATTCAAATAATTGTTCTTTTGAGCTACACAAAAAATATAAGAGACTCTTTTGAACTTTAAGAACTTTCTTTTATCTGAAAAGCTAAAGAGAGAAATTTCTTACATTTAAAAGAAACTTTAAAACGTGCTTTTAGTTTCTACGTTAAGAGCTGGTAAATGAGGAGACCAGAAGTTTTTTTTTTTTTTTTGTAGAACGCTTGCGACCTTGAAATCGTCTATAGAACGCTTCAAGTTCGTTTACTTCATTTTCACACAGGAGCAAATTTTCGCGTGCGTGTGTGCATGTTTGTATGTAAAAAAGAAAGAGGGGAAGGGAAAGAGAAGAACGTGCGTTTCATTGTGTCCAGGCATATTTGTTATGAACGCACGACGCATGCCTGCGCATACGTGGGAAATTCGTGCTCAGAAATCATGCCTGCTTGGTGTAAAGATTACAACTTTCTGGCGAAAGACGTATTGATGAATCATACCACCGAATTTCAATTGCCACTGACGTCTTCCTCTGATTACCAGCAGCACATATCTGCAGCTTGCTTTTGGCGGCACTTATACACCATTACCGCCACGTTGCGTTTTCGTTCGCGACAAGCGTATAGCGAGTGGCTCTAATCGGTGGGACGTTAAACCCCACACATCAATCAGCTCTAATCGGTGATTTCTCGTGCTCTGCCACAAGCGCTTCAGTCGATCTACATTGACGCGTCTGATGTAGACAGGTCAAACGTCTCAAAAAATATGTATCACCGGAAGTGATCGCTCAAGTGCATAGGCCCTAAATGCTCAAGTGCATAGGCCCTTTGAGCTTTGTACGCTGTCATGCCTAGTGACCTAAGGGCAATGTATACGGGGTCCTCACCCACATGCCGTTTTGCCTTGTAGTCTCATCGCTTACACATTATTTGACAGAGGTTAGTTTTTTTTTTGTTCTTCTTTTTAAAATAATTCTTTCTGGTAAGAGATTATCCTGGTGATTGAGATGGTCAGGTATAATAATGATACAGAAAAAAAAGACGCCGAACTCAATGAAGAGAGTATAATTTGTAAACGTTACGGTTTCTTGCTGCAGCAATAGTTGCCTTGAAAAAACAAAGACAAGTACGCTGTTGCTCTCTGATTCAGTTGGTGTCACACAGAGCTTGCGTAGATGGGAGCTCGCTGGCGTTCATTGGCTATCATGCATTCTTCTGCCCACTTACGTCGTTTGAAAAGACCGTAGCACAAGCTCAGTGATTGCTTGAATTGATATGCATCTTTGATTGTTTGATTGATTGTTTGTTTGTTTGATTGATTGATTGATTGATTGATTGATTGATTGATTGATTGATTGATTGATTGATTGATTGATTGATTGATTGATATGTGGGGTTTAACATCTCAAAACCACCATATGATTATGAGAGACGCCGTAGTGAAGGGTTCCGGAAATTTCGACCGCCTGGGGTTCTTTAACGTGCACCCAAATCTGAGTACACGGGCCTACAACATTTCCGCCTCCATAGGAAATGCGGCCTTCGCAGCCGGGATTTGATCCCGCGACCTGCGGTTCAGCAGCCGAATACCTTAGCCACTAGACCACCGCGGCGGAGCTTGATATATATCTTCTCGTTGGTGTGGTCAGCATGGTGCGTTATTATTCAGTCAGAAATTATCTCTCGCGTTATCAGCCTGAATTTCGGCACATTCGTTTAAATTAAAAAAATATATTGTTCAAACTTCGTCTGTACGTTGATCACTTTTTCGGAAACTGTAGCTGCTATATGAACTTACGGCTCTGGTAATAGGAACGCATTGGTATATACGTCTTTTTTAAGTTAAAGTTCTCCGCGCTTTATTTTAATGCTTCATACGTCATATCTTTCTCTCGCTGTACATTTTGGTTTGTCTCCCAGTACAGTATTTACACTTTCAATTAGTATGCCGAGATCTTATCCACCCATATACACCACTTGCAGTTGTTCACCTTTATGGGCCCACGATGACGCCGTATACCAGATTTCTGGACTGTGACGTTGTGTCTGCTTGCTGTCTCTCTCTCTTTACTTTTCTTTCAATTTCCCCATCCGTGTCTTCTGTATTACGCTAAGTGTCAACGTCCCTGCCTTTCCTCTCTCTCCTGATGATTCTTTCCCTTCACTTTTATAGTTGTACTTCTGAAGAACCTCGTAATTGTTCTTTCATGTGCAATGACTTACAAAAAATTAGGCGCTTTATTATATTGCTGACTGCATTTATCATAGCAACGGCGCAATCGTAAGTTCATTCTTTGTATTCGTCCTTAATCCATGCAGACTCTCCGACATGCGTGGAAGGAGTGCCCATCGTGTATTCGGCATCCCGTCACGAGGCCGTGCGAGTCACGTGCCGAGTGGCCGCATCGCCAAAATCGGTGCGCTTCCGCTGGAGCTTCAGCAGCAGCACGCGGCGCACCGAACTCACAGACTTCGTGGTTCTGGGGCCCGAGATGGAGCCGGACGGCACCCCCGTGCTCGATGGGGACTCGCCCACCGTGGTCTCCGTGCTTGAGTACACTCCGCAGTTCCAGAGTGACTTTGGCACGTTACACTGCTCGGCCAGCAACTCTATGGGCGACCAACGAGAGCCCTGCACCTTCCACGTCGTGCAGGCTGGTGAGTCTCGCTGCTCATTCCGCGTTTCCGGTAGTCCGCACTGGCCGGGCTTTAACGGTGATGATGCCAGGATTACCAATGTAGAGATCCACTTTATGTGCTGCATCTCAAATTCAGCAGCCTTCACGATAATAAGGGAGAAGTATATGCTATATTGCTAGTCATTTAATTCAAAAACTTTGGCGTACAATTCATTTCTAAAGGATCTCCGCGAAAGCAAGGAAGGTGACACCGCTTCGATAGCACGCGTTCACTCAGTATAAATAACAAGGTGGTTGTTTTGTATGAAACGCACCGTCCATTATGAATCAATAAAAAGATACTGCACCTTTTGAGCAAAATAATGTAAATATTTTGTAGTACCTGATTTCGCGGTTACCCATTTAAAAAAGAAATGTAAATATGCACGGGGCACTTTTGCATTGCAAGATCGCAATACCCCATTACACTCTTTATATATTGTATCCTAGACTAAAAATTTCCTGACTCATGTCGTTTCGAGAGGAACTACACTTAAAAGGTGCGGCAACAGCAAGAGGTTTAACAGCCCAGGCATCCTGTGATGAAGCATAGCGGGTGGAGGTACTCTGTTTCTTGCATGCACGAAGAAGAGCCACCATGCGCAGCGTTCCAACTATCCAAAGAGAGCAGTGTCAGGGCCATGAAGTGTCAACCACGCTATGCATAGCGCGCCGTTGATGACACATGGCGTCGATAATAGATGCCTCACGTTTACGTCTCTAATTGTTCCAATAGACGTGTTCGTGTTGTTCTCGGTTTGTTTGTTGGTTTGTTTGCTTGCTTCCCTCACACGTTAGGCAACCTCCTTTTAAGTGAATTAAGCGCGAGCGTATACACGTCCGTGAGAATAAGATCGAGTGGTTTACGTGCTGAAACCACAATATAACTGAGACTCTCCATACTGAAGGGCTCTGGAAATTTTGACCATCTGGTCTTCTGTAACGTGCACTGATATCGCACAGTACACAGGCCTGCATCAAAATTTTTCCTTCATGGCCGGGATCAAACCGGCGATAATCAGGTCAGCAAACGAGCATCATAACCGTTGCGCCACCTCAACTGACAGTCAGGATCATGAATAGACACAACTTTAAATTGTGATCATAAGGTTCACCTTGAATCGCTTGAAAATTATAAAATATTTGTGCAAACAAACGCGTAGCTGGTTCTTATTCCTCCTAAAAGACGCGTCATGTTTCAATGTTGTCACGCTGCATTAGTGATAGCCCAAATGAAGCTTGCTGCCACAAAGGTTGTTACCTTGATCAAAAGCACTTCATATAAAAAACTAACATAAATTACATCATAGCAGCTCAGACTATGACTAGTAGTTACGAAGAACTGCAGATGTAGCTAATTAGCACTAGAAATAACAGACAATGTGACAATATACAGGACGGGTTGTGTATTCGCTTTGTCCCGCCTTCACATTGTCCATTGTTTTTTGCGCTAATTATGTCGGCTGGTAATACGCACCGACCAGACCAGCTCGCTTCTCTAATACTGGTACGCAGAAGCTGTGGTTGGTCCAGATGCTACTACTATCTGACAAGAAACCTTAGTGCCGATTCGTTCCGTCACCTTCTTCGCACCACCAACGCATAGTGCCAGCGGAAACTAAACGTTGAATTATTTCGAAAGCACTGGAGCGTAAGCTTGGCCTCTTTCCATTAATTAAAAACTCGACACGCCGAAGCTTCATTTCCGAATTGACGTGACGCATGCCGACAGAGAAAAGAGCGATATTATTTACTCACAGGTTCGTGCTTTCCCGTCAAATGTACCGCACTTTCTGGACTGGCCACATTAACGTATGAGTGTGGTATGCTTAGTACACGCGAGTCGTCTACATCTTCGCCGCTTACATAAAACGGCCCGCCTTATACTTAGTGAACAACTAGCACGCGCTGGAATGCCGAACGCAGGGCACATGTATACAGGACGACTTCAACACAACACGGGTGTGGTCAGCGCACAGCGAGGGCTCTCCTTCGTAACCACTGCTCCGGCTGACGCATGCCAGGCACGTTTTTCGAGCGTCTCGCTTTTCGCAGAGCGTCTGTTGGATTAAGCACCGGAGTCTAGCTTGCTAATCTCCTCGCAAGACACGCTTGTCAGAGGCCCCCACTGCGGACGAGAAAATCGCTGTGTAACGGACGCCCGTGCTCGCCGCGTTTCCAGTTGCTCCAGCTGTTTCATCTGTTTTCCTCTTCGAGCAATTGCCGCTTCCGTTTCCCGACGGAAAGAATTAGAAGAGAAAAACTAGATTAAAACTTGCGAAAAGTGGAGCGGACTTCAATTTTTCTTTATTATCTATCCTTCCTTTCTTGCCCAGTGTTAACGACATCATTAATCAGAGCATACGGGGGCAGACGGACTGGAGAGACATACGTCCTCGTTTAAGAGCTTAGAGGTATAAGCACTTAAACCAGATGACGCTGGTAAATGCTTAATGAGTCGCAGTGTTGCCTTTGGAACTTCAATATTAATTTCGGCTGCCCTCATGCTTGATTACAAAATTGGCACTTTCAGCGTTCCTCCTGCTATTGATCGCCACTATACGTACGCTCCATCTGAGGTCGCATGCTGCGAGTAGCGAGCAAAAATAGGATATCATGGCTTCGAATGCGGCGCAAGGCAAGACACCTGCCCTGATATTATATTTGAACCAGTGACCTACATAATGTTCAGGCACTAATTGCGCTTTGCGTCCTGCTCTTCTGAGAGCCTATATCATTGTTTCTTGAATATATACTCAGGACGCAGTCTAAAATTGAAAAATTTAACGCAGCGCAGAGTGTCGTCATCTTTTAAACTGCAACGTTTCCTGGGCGCTTTTGTTCTCATTTTACGAATGGAACTTGATCTCGTTCAGAAAAATTTAAAATTAATTCGTAATTTCATCTAGGGCTGTTTTTCGAGTCAGAGAAGCCATCATAATATTTGTTTTAAGGCACGCTGATAACCTGGTTGTAGAAAGGCGCGAGCAGTTGCATCATTCATTGGATACGTGAGATTTCACGTCAGGGCAAGCGACGCTCTCACCGAAAGTGATCGACCCCGAACACGATCCCTGTTCACCTCAAACTACGCGTATTACGGAAATTGTTGTATGCAAGCGCACGAAGCCGACACCGAATAGGTGTACAGCGAAAACGGGCCTGTCGATCGATTCTCATTATTTCAAAAAAAACGCGATCATTCTGTCTAGAAATCGGTAAACACGAAAGTGGAACGTCTCTTCACACAGAAATGCGATCGTTAACTATTGCTATATTTTGCTACAAGGGTGAGGGAATGAATACTACAGCAACAAATTGTAATGTCACTCGAACAAGAAGCAGCTCCAAACCTGAAGTATGCATCTAAAGCAGAAAGAACACACGAAGTTAGCTTACGCAAGACGCGGGCGTAATGAGAACTGTCACAGCTCAACACTTCAAGCATGCTGCTTACACAGGAAGACGCACAAATCTAATGCAGAAGTATACACAAGACGAGCGCGAACAACTGTCACAATAGAACTCTCCCTGTTAGCAGACAGTGTGATGTCACTACGAGCACCCCGCCCACCATCCGCTTTCTCGATGCAAATGCTGCTTGGGGAGAAGTTTCGCCGGCAGGATCTTTTTGCTCAGCAGTGCTTAAAGTGTCAACAGTCCTTCAACAGAAATTTTCGCGCTATTCTGTTAGGTTAACATGTGGCGATTCGCTCGTCCTAGGATGGCAGCAATAAAAAAATCTTATTTTCTTCAAAAGTGAACGTTCTGTATCTCCACGGTGACTGGCACTTTGAGTAATATTCGTATGGCATGGATGTGAACGTACCCAAATTATGTGGCGACATGTGCACTCCAGTTTTAAACGAGGTACCGCATCGGCAGCAGCATGCTATGCGCGAGGTCACAGATAAGATCCTCGCTTACTACAAAAAATTCTGATGAAAGATGAATGGTACAAAAGAGAAAAAACCAAACACATTTTGTGCCATGTGTTAGGGGGAGGTTAACACGTCCCCGTGAAAGTTAAAGCAAAGTCCTCCCCCACAGCGTTCCTTATAGCCCGCTGAAAGGATATGTGATTTCAAACCCGACAATCTGATTATATAGATAATCTCTTGCGCAGGAACCTTGCTGCATCTGATGCTGGCAACGTGTTTGCGTACTTTGCTCTTTTAAACATGATACACAACTTGTAATGGGCATAGCCACTTAATAAAAGATCGAACCGCAAAAGGTATCAAGTATATCAGAAGCAATAATCTCCGCTGTCTCTATTAAGACGTAGGAGATCTCCGATAATACGGGTAACACATTTATTAAGCTTCCATATTCACCGTGACACAGTATATATGCAGCTTCGGCAATGCTAAAGCATGCTAATTGCTCATGCGTTGTCGTATCTTTCAGCCCGATAATCATGCACTCTCTTTTTTCTGCACGTAGTGCAAACGCTAAGATATACCAACCCGCAGATGATCGTGTCATATGTATTTTTACCTTGACTGAAATGTCAAATCGTGGAGTTACACCGACTACTAGAAACTGCCGCCGGCCCACAACGAGTGTCAATCTTTTCGCAAATAAGATGCATCATTCTTCACGCAGCACACATCACTCACAATAGTGTTGTTAAGCGTTTCACCGCCTTTGAGTTACCGCCCATAAATGTGAACAAATATTGCCGATGCTTTTGAACGCACACTACACGCCACAGTGAACACTGCATGTTTTCGAAGACAATGCCGCTTTTCCTCGCACAGGCATCCTCGTGTGTTCACTTCTGCGAAATAAACAGCCAGCCAGCGTGGCAAGTATTTCGTCACGCAGTTCACCACACATATAGACATTCTCTGGCACTTACCTTATCTGATTTTGTCGGAGTAACCTGAAGTTAGAGCTCTTTAAAAAAGTAAAAAAAAAACTATAAACAATCTCCCCGAAGGGAACCCTGATGGGATGCGAAGCAGCAGCAGTGTA